ATATATATATATATATATATATATATATATATATATATATATATATATACACACACACACACACACACATATACATATACATATGTACATACACACATATACCCCCACACACACACATATACACATGCAGGTATTATATCAGACTGTAAAATGGCATAAATACAAAAAGACTTGATCATTTTCATTTGAATTATGAATGGATATCATAAAAAGCCAAAATTGCAGAATAATAATAATAAATGAAATCTTTCCAATCCAGTCCTCCTAGTCCCATCTGGAATATTGCTAGGATATTTTTTTTACTATGTCCTTGAAATTTTTCTACATAGAAAATACATCAAAGACGCTTTTATGCTGTACCTAGCATATGATGTCACACAATTAGATAGTAGTAGAGATTCCAACTATAGTTAGAGGTTTTATTTTATTTTAAAATAGATTCTTCCTTTTAGAATTGTCTTTGGTAGACAATTGGTCCTATCATTGGTTTGTATTAATGAGTCATCTCTCTAGGGAGCTGTTAAACCTAAGTGTCTTTTTATTCCCTTATAAATTAAGCCTCCTGTTCTTTTTTTATGCAGTATATGCCCATGTCTCTATTCATTTAAAGAGTGCTTTCCCTCTTTATCTGATTTGCCAAATGCACAGGTTTATGCATACTTATGTAGGACTGTTTCATTTCTATCCAATCTAAAAAAAAATTCAGAAGGAATTACATTGTGAGCATAGCAAGATGAGAGCTTAAAAGCTGGAATTTTTCTGACTGTAGAAATGAGTAAAAGTTTAGATGAAATAGGTAAAAGGTAACTATCGTGAGAAGAAAAAATTGAAGGGAAATCTTAAATCCAGGTTGTTGTTTGGTTTTTGTTTGGGTTTCTCAAAATTTAAAATTCAGTGTACAAATATATCAAATAAGAATAGCATGTTGGTTCCCAACTATAGTGGGAAAGCACTATAGTTCAATAAATCATAATCAATAAAGCATAATTTTTTAAAATAAAATCTTTGTAAATATTATTTATTAAATATTTCATTGCAGTTTTTGCCTTTAAAATATTTGAAAAGTTCAGGCAAAATCTAAGCAATCAAAAACTTAAATCTGAAAAATCAAACATTAATATAGAACATTTGCAGTAAAGCAAAAGAACAGTGCTGACTGGTTCTACACACAATGCCCTTTTGTCATTTTAAGATATTGTTCCTCGGATCCTTGTCCCTCGTAATCAGCTGATAAAAGTTATTCAGAATAATCGGACTCTTCTTGACTGTCCATTCTTTGGATCCCCAATTCCAACATTACGATGGTAAGATTTAATTATTAAGCCACATCTTTTTTAGTATATATCTGTTTCTTTACATTAATTATATTACTGTTAATAAATAAGACAGAAACATTTTTTAAAATTAGCAGATATCCAAGTTACAAATATGGCATTGGAAGTACAAGGTAGCCATTATTAAGAGTAGATATACTTTATCTAGATTTTTATATACTTCAAATAAATCAACAGACCAGCTGGAGAAGGTTATGTAGTAATTCCTTTAGTGCATGGGTGTCCAAAGTTTTGATTTGTCTGAGCAACATCAAATGAAGAATTATTGTCTTGGGCCATATATAAAATATATAATTTAGTTAATGTACATTAATCATATAATAATGTTAAAAGTTTATGATCATATGAGGCTACATCCAGGGCCTCATGCTGGCTGTTGACCATGGGTTGGTTCTCCTCCCCTCCCCCCACTTTGATGGTTCATATATTGAATATTTAAAATATTTCTTTCTTTTTTCATGAGGTTTAAGAACGGCCAGGGAAGTACATTGCATGGTGGCAATTATAAAGCACATGAGAATGGAACTTTAGAAATCATTAGAGCTCGGAAAGAAGACCAGGGAACTTACACCTGTGTGGCTACCAATCTTTTGGGCAAAGCACAGAACCAGGTTCGTTTGGAAATAAAAGGTAAGGTGGCTTCTGCTTCAGCAAACTACAGGTATTTTCCAAATAGTGGGGAGAGATGTGGTTTCCATCCATAGCATATATCCTATTCATAAAGAAGGTATGATGTTTCAGTGATGTTTAATTTGGCAAATGGAAAGAATAGGAATAATGCACATTAAATTACAATTAAATGGACTTCGTAAGTTCTGTAAACCTTTGCTACATGTTCAACATTAGACCAAAGACCCTCAAACTTGCAAAAGATGATCTAATATCCTCCAAGCTAATACAATTTCCATTCTATTTATCTAAACATTGTGAAGGGTTTCTTGAGCTTGACAACAGAGATAGAAATGCCCGAAGCTTCAACTCGAAGAGGAACCTGTCTTTCAGTCTTGTTTCATTATCCAATTCATGGATGCCCATGAGAATAAAAGGAATTCAGAAAAGGAAGCAGGAAAATATAAAGAAAGATGAGAGAATGTTTTAAACACTGAGTAAATGGAAACAAACCAAAAGAAGGAACTGAATAGGTGCCTTATTTGCACTGCACCTTCCTTAGAACATTTTTCTGAGCAGATGCTGTGAACTGCAGAGCAGGATTATGCAACAACAACAAAGAATTCTTGCTGATTTATCTGAAAGATTGGTTACATATTGGTTGTGTCCTTGTCATACCAATATGGGGCGAAACCTATTGCCATCTGTGGGGCTGAATCTCTTGAGCTGAATTACACCTCCAAGGTACTAGGGTGTGCATTAAAATGTGTCTGGTGAATACAAGAAGGTTTGCAGGGCCGAAGAGTGGATAAATATCAGAAAAAATAAATGATAGAAATGGAGGTGTTTCCAGATATATCATCATTTATTTCTTGATGAGTAAAGCAATAGTAGACAATGTGTTATTGTTACATTCTTTATTAGATTCTATTTCCCAGTACTTAAACTAGCCTCCCCTAACTCCATTCCTTTCAAACATCTTGAAGAGACTAATATGAGGACTTCAAATAAATTAAATAGTTCACTAATAATCCTAGGCTACTACCTAACCTTTTGCAGATCCCACAAGGATTATAGAGGGACCCAAAGATGCTATACCAAAGAAAGGTTCCACAATTCACTTAGTGTGCCAGACAAGACATGATGCCACATTACGGCTTACAGTTACCTGGCTTAAAGATGATATTCCCATCTACTATGGAAACAGGTCAGTTTCATCTTTCTTTTATTAGATGATATATTTATCAAAATTTTAGCCTATTCTGCTTCTCTAGCACACAAGTAATTATTATAGAATTCTCCCATTTTGATTGTGAGAATTATATCTATTGCTATTTGGAAGAGGAGTAAATTGATGATTGAAAAAAAATGTAATAGCAAAAGCCAGGTTTTATATACAGAAATAGAAGGAGCAATAAATAACTGAAAAAAATGTTTGATATCTTTTGTTAAAAATTACCTTCTAAAATTAATGATATTTTCACCAGAAGTTACTGATTTTTTACTTGCTCATTTAAAAACACCACTTCTGAAAAACAATATTTATGTATATATGTAATTCTTTTTTAATACTACATTTTTGATGCCTTCAATTTTATCTTAATCTTTAAAATGGAGAATGTATATATTTCTCTCCAAAACAGTACAATATCTTTTCTAGACTGAGCTTATTGGTTTGTAACTTTAAAACTAAATCATTTTTTTAAATGTTATCTACTTGGTAAAAAATTAAGTAACACTTTCACTTTTAAATTCTCAGAAGTTCAGTTTCCTTGTTTAAAATTAGTGAGCATTTATTTATCAGGCTGTTTTCAGATCATTAAAATATCAGAAAACATACCAACATAATGAATTAAGTGTTGAAGAATGATCTATTCTATTAGATATATCTCTGTTTAGTATTCCAGGCATAGCAGCATTTGGAAATTAATCAAAAAAGTAGTTTGTAAACTAATGTGTACAAAACACCAACATAAACTAAATGAAACCCTTTGTATGGCTGTGTGCGTGCACATTCACTCATATATGTGCCTGTGAGTTAAACATGCATATATATGTATGTATGTACGTACGTACGTACATACATACATATACATATACATATACATACACCTACACCTACACCTACACACATACACATAAACACACACACAAACACACACATATAAATCATAATTTTAAACCTTTTCTCAGAGGCTGATAATATGTCTCCCAAAGATGATTTTTACAATGTTATTCCATTAGTGACTCTGGAGTTGCATCCTGCAATTCTAGAATCACTGATGTCTTTCAAAACAGACCTCAATTACACTGTAAAATTTCAGAGATGAGGTTTCCAAAATAAAGTGTGATTTTCCATCATTTGGGCTAAAAATGCACAAAAACCGTTGGCTTTAAAATAGTTATAAAAGTAAAGAAAAATCTATCTGCTCACTTCCCCAAATGGGAAAAACATAGACAATCTAATTCTCAGTTGGAGATACAGTATGTTTCACCTCATATATGCCATTGTTTAGCCCTCTGCAATCAAATAGGAATACAGTTACAGCCAACTGTTAAAACCTTCTCAACAAATAGTTAATAGGTATCCAGTGAAATCAAAACTAGAAATGTTCAAGGATTTTGTTCAAACCATATTTTTAAATAAGTAAATTTGAAATGCATACCCTTGACCTATAAGAAAATAAAATAATTTAAAGTCAATTATTTTGGTTTTTCTAATTTTATAATACTTTTCTTGGTTCAAGAAACCAATTTGTAGTATGTTATAGGATATTATTTAATTTCTACCTCGCTTTTACAAAAGTATACAGTAATAGGCATATCAGTAGCTGTCATTCATGCTTTTCTAAGAGATGTGTGCTCCCATAGTGTTTTTACTTGTAATGCTTCTGCACTGAAAGGATGAAGAAAGAAGAAGATGGTTTGACTATACATGGAGTATCAGAAAAAGATCAAGGATATTATACCTGTGTGGCTAGCACTGAACTAGATAAGGATACTGCCAGAGCCCATGTCACTGTACTTGGTAAATCTTTTCAAATTTCTTGAATTTGAGGGGTATTTTAAGTATTGTAGACAATTTATTTAGGAAAATGTTATGACTTGTTTCTCTGGATTATAGAAGATGGAATATACAGAAGAAGAAGAAAAAAACAGGCTTAATTCTTTAAAAATAGAATATTCTATTTTTAAAGTGGAGATTCTAAAAAGAGTGCAGAGAAAGGCAACAAAGATGATTAGGGGACTGGGTTGTATTGTATTGTATTGTATTGTATTGTATTGTATTGTATTGTATTGTAATCAAGGAGAGAAGCAACTTAGAACTGAGGAGAAATCTCCTGACAGTGAGAACAATTAATCAGTGGAACAGAAGTTGCCTCCAGAAGTTGTGAATGCTCCAACACTGGAAGTCTTTAAGAAGATGTTGGATAGCCCTTTATCTGAAATGGTGTAGGGTTTCCTGCCTAGGCTTGGACTAGAAGACCTCCAAGGTCCCTTCCAACTCTTCTATTGTATTGTATTAACCATGTTCAACTGGCTCACTTATTTTCATTATTTACTGCTTTAAGATAATCCTGCTTATACAGTAATTATGAGTACTAATAGTGAAAAATGAAAACGTGTCTCTCAAAGCTGATCAAGCACAGTAGTTATATTTCAGTCCTTTCTATAAAGAAGTGAAGAGATGCAAAAATAATGTAAATGTGTTTAGGAGTCTCTTCAAAGTACTAGTTTGATTTAAAACTTGATTTAAAATACGGGTTAGTCATCCTTTCGTCTTTGTATCAGTTTTTTTTTTGTACAACTCTTTATCTTTATACAAGGGTTTGGAGATGTGCATGCACATTTATTTGACACATACCCTTTTACCTAAATGGACTGATACCAAAAGAATACATATACTTCATCTCTCTCCCTTCCTCATCCTTTCATCAATTCAGCACATATTGCTGAGTTCTCACTCTCATTATTAGAAGGATGTGAGCTATGTTGTTCCCACCAGCCAGATGATGAGACGATCTGTTACTGGTTAGAGGCCAGGTTGCTTGGTTTTGGGCCACAGGAAACCTGCAATCTGTTTTCTGTCAACCAAATGAATGAACTTTGATTGCAGCTTCTTCACCTATGGTTTAAAAGCTATGCTATAACCCTTCAATTATGTATATTTAACTATTGACTCTAACTCTCTAAACAGCTAATATCTTACTTTGCAGCTCCTTCTTCTGTTAACCGTATGACCCCACCCCCAGGTAATCAGTACTAATCCATAAATCTCTTTGTATTTTTTCTTTCGTTGTTGCTTAATCATCACAATAACTTTAATTAAAGTTCTGCTGGAAGTATAACTTGGGTTGTACAACTCCTCCCTCAGCAGTAGTCATACCTGCCAAGTGGGAAGACATCTTGAATTATGTTGTATAGCTTGTTGCATAGAGTGTAAAAGTAAAAGAATCTAGTACTAAGAGTCATAAAAACTACAGCTTAGTTTAGGCTACTAGGATGAATGCGCAATTCTGATATTGACAATGATTTTCCTCTCTTCCCTGTATGAATGTTTGCATTTACTTTAAGTTTCCTTGTTGACAGAATGGAGGTAACAAATATTTATCATCCTTTTCAATCCATAGATTTTGCTGGATCTCCAAAGCTTTCTTTCCCAAACCTGGAACTGTAATGCCAAATGCAGGTGTGGGAGGGGGGGATATTTCTCATAATTGTTGCAACATGAAGAAGTTGCCTACTTCCCATGCTAGAGCTAGATTCAGAAAGGGTTTTAGTGGCATTTTTAGAATCTGCAAAACATTTTCAAATTCAGACTATTTTGCAGTTGGAACATGCCACACTTTGAAAATGTTTCAAATTTTGAGCCACTCTGACTCAGATTCAAAACATCAAGTGTTTCAAATTCAAAAACAATTCCAAAATGCTTAAACCATGAAAAAACAGGAAGTTTTAAATTTGAAACAGTTTTAATTCAAAATGTTTTCTACATCCCTATACAGTTGATAAAGAGAAATGCAACACATCCATATGGGCAGACCCAGGGTGAAATTCATCAGGTTCTGACAGGTTCTGGAGAACCAGTAGCCGAAATTTTGAGTAGTTCGGAGAACCAGCAAATATCACCTCTGGCTGGCCCCAGAGTGGGTTGGGAATGGAGATTTTGCAATATCCTTTCCCCAGGAGCGGGGTGGGAATGGAGATTTTGCAGTACCCTCCCCCTGCCACACCCACCAAGCCATGCCCACAGAACCGGTAGTAAAAAAAAATGAATTTCACCACTGGGCAGTCCACAAATGATGCTGGAATAGTATTGTGTTTTTTATAATTTTCTTCTGTACTTCCATGAATCAGGGTAACTATCCCTAAATATTCTTACCTATTACCTCTCTAAAATCTAAAACTTTATCTAAATAATTGGTTGTAAAATCCTTACCCTGATGGTAGAGAGCCTTCAGCCTCATTTATCCATGCCACAGAATGATATAAAATTTGAAACAAAGAATAAATTGTGGTACTTCAAGGTTGCCAGGTGGATGCCATTTTGCACTATTTCTCTATAAAATTCTCCCTGCAAAGAAAAAAAAAAAGTAGCATATCCTGGAGAATTGTCTATTCGGACTACTTTTTTGTGTGAGAGAGAATTCTATACTTTCATAATTCAGTATCAGTCTGAAGTAGTACCACTTGTTTTAATATCCAGTTCCCATCTTTTTCTGTGACAAGTTTAGACTTGACCTTATAGCCATGTACAACATAGAGACATAAACCTTAATGGAAAGCCTGAAAGGACTGAGACCTTCATTACTCATTAGAGAAACCTATATTTTGCATATTATTTTGCTGGTAGCACGTCCAGAACGTCCCCGCGACCTTGAACTAACAGACCTTGCTGAAAGGAGTGTGCGGTTAACTTGGATTCCTGGTGATGACAACAACAGCCCAATCACGGGTGAGTGAAACGATACCATTCATGCTTTATTCATTGTTTGTATTTCAAGATAAGCCTACTTACCAGTAATTACATTGCAAATTAGGGGATCCCACATTTCTGTCTTCTAGATTATATTGTGGAATTTGAGGAGGATAAATTCCAACCTGGAACTTGGCATAACCATTCCCGCTACCCAGGAAATGTGAACTCCGCCTTCTTGCGCCTTGCACCATATGTCAACTATCAGTTCCGAGTAATAGCTGTGAATGATGTAGGAAGCAGTTATCCCAGTCTGCCTTCTGAACGATACCATACAAATGGGGCACGTAAGTGCTAACTGGCTTGAATTCATGCATACCCTTAAAATGAAAAGAAAGCTTGAAAAAAGTCTGCAATGACAATGCCTACACAAACGTGGACAGATGTCGCAAGTGGCAAATACTCCTGGGAAACAGGTGTACTTACAAATATATTATACTATTCCATTCTTGCATGTACATGGAAGACTTTTTTGTTCTATAACTGAAAACTAATGTATGAAATTGTTCTGACAGATTCAGCAGTCTACTAGGTATCTTCATGCTGATCAGTTTTCAGATTATAATATCATCGAGTTCACCCTTGGAATTTGAGGTTTAGCCTTTCAAATAATAAAATATTCCAAATCTCAAATAATACAGATAGATTTTACTTGTCAAACTGGCCCTATTTTGTACTGTACCCCATTATTAAATACCTGGAGATAATGGCTACCAGCAATTTAGTAGCAGAAATGGTTGCCCAACTTATTCTTTTATTGAAATCAACTTATATGTCTAATTGACTGGCTTCTGGATTTTATGTGTAATAGCAATAGCAATAGCAGTAGACTTATATACCGCTTCATAGGGCTTTCAGCCCTCTCTAAGCGGTTTTACAGAGAGTCAGCATATTGCCCCCAACAATCTGGGTCCTCATTTTACCCACCTCGGAAGGATGGAAGGCTGAGTCAACCCTGAGCCGGTGAGATTTGAACCGCTGAACTGCTGATCTAGCAGTAGCCTGCAGTGCTGCATTTAACCACTGCGCCACCTCGGCTCTTAATTAAAAATATGTGGGTCTCATTAATGTATCAGCATTGTATTCCAGATTTTCTGTCTATAAACAATGGGAAATTGCTTAAAAAGATAGAAACAGATATTATTGCTCAGTATTTATCTTTATTTCAGGCCCCGAATTTAACCCTTCAGGAGTTAAAGGATCAGGAACAGCAAAAAATAATATGGTTATATCATGGATGGTGAGTTATCCTGAGAGAAGTTACTTGTTTATAACATGTACATTTATACCATAAGTTATCCTCAGTCCAAGGTTTTTCTACAAAGTGTGGTATTAGAATATGTTACAAAGAATAATGGCTTAAATGAGCATCAAAATATATTGTTCTAGGCTTTATATGCTTTACAACATAGACTTACTCCTGGAGATGAAAATAGTCACAACTGGAAAAGATTCTGAAACAGCTGGAGATTTTTTCCTTCTTCTTCTAGCTCCATAGCCCTGTTGTAAATTCTGACTATTGATCATTAATGTGGCTATTGAATTCTTCATTTGCTTCTGCTATTTGTTGTCTTTTCACAATGACTCTAAATAATGTCCAACAGATTTATAATCTTAAAACTAATAGTGTGGTATTGAATATTAAAGCACTATAAAAGATTCATAGGACTACTAAAACATCAAAGGAAAAATAAAAGACAAGCCTTAATTTGTACCTAAAATAAACCATTTTTCTTTGTATATACTCTTTTTAATGCAATTTTAATACTTTATTTTATATGTAACTTTTTATATGTGAAGCCTTTTAACCCAATATTTGAGCCAACATATATTTTGAGACAAACATTTGCAGGTTATGTCAGTTGTGTTCCTGCTTGTGGTCCAGTGAATTCCAATTTGGCAAATCAGCCAAATTTCTTTTGCATCTCCAACTGTCATAGATAACACCTTGAAAGAGATACAGTATATAGGTTTAACCCCTGATATTCTAAGTCATAATTGTCTTCTTTCTTTCTTTCTCTAGCCATTAAATGCAACTCAAGTGTATGGCCCCAATCTTAAATACATTGTGAAGTGGAGAAGAAGGGACACACGGGAGAGTTGGAACAACCGAACTGTAAAGGGTGATGTCAGTCAGTATACTGTCGCACCAACACCTATCTATACACCATACGAGATCAAAGTACAAGCTTTAAATGATTATGGGATTGCCACGGAGCCAGACATCGTAATTGGCTACTCAGGGGAAGATTGTGAGTATTCCCATAGTCAGAGAAAGTTGGAAATAGAGAAGGCAGATTGCATTTACTTCTTACTTGTTGGTGATAACCTGCAACCTTTTAATACTATATATGTCATGACCAGCATTTTGCCAAAAGGGGTATTCAAGTGCAACAGGAATTATTTTGCTCAGAATGAAATGAAAATGTTCGAAATATCTTGAATGCCTTGTCTTTTCACAAACCACTAGCATCAATACCCATACATTCACTGTTCTTGGAAATTCTTTTTTTCTGACACATCAGACTTTTACAAACATTAAGAACTTTTCTTTGTATTTAAATATACTCAGTACAACTGACTGAAATATGCCTACAATAAATAATTCAGGAGATAAGCTAGCCCAACATTGTGTGGTTTAATAGTATTCAGGTTATGGAAATGAAACTGAAACTCAAATATTAATTGAAGTACTTTTGGTTTTGTATCCAATTTTGGCATCTGCCAATAAAAGAAGTACTTCATTTTCTATTTGCCAAAATTGTTCTGGCAATTCGGTGAATCCTTCAGAGAAATCACAGGGGTTTTGGACAAAGAAGAGAAAAAGAAAATCTCAATATATAAGCAGAAGTCTATTTGCATAACATGGCATATAACATGTAATTTGGACAACTAAGGTAAGTTGGCAGGAAAATAATAGTAAAATAGGTAAAAATAAGAGAGGTAAAAATAAATGAACTGATTTAGTATAATTTAGTATATAAAGTAGAAGAAATAAGATGCTGTAGTATCTAAAGTGTTGGATTTATATAGTAAGGATTTGGACAGTACTAATTCAACTATGTATCTTGTCTTGGATAATTTATGTTTTCACCTAAATGTCTTGGAAGAATACTGCATATTATCTTTAATAGGTCCTAAACAGTGGCTCTGTAATATTTAAAAATGGTCATAAACTTTCTGAAATGTAAATGAAAGTGTCAGTTTACAGACATTCTGGATAATTTCTCTTAACTCTTCCTTCTAAAAATGATCAGAACAGTTAACTAAACAATAATTGAGTAGTTGCATTCAAAGTTAGCCTTATTTAGAGTATGATCTAGTAATCCAGTTATGAAATTATCAAGGAATTACTATTGGGGCTACAATAGGTCTCTTCAGATATTGATGTAATTCCACACCAGCTAAAGCTGTGGGAAATCCCTCTTACCCACAAAGGCCACCCAAACTTTATTCACTATACAGCATTTTTGGAGGAAGCATGGCTCATCAAGGTCAGGCTCCTTATTTTAGGCCTAAAACCACCTGTCCATAATCTCTCTTTTTTTTTAAACTAAGTCTCAGCTTCTTGAACATATGTAGATCTAGATAGTTAAAGGTTCTCCACAATCAGCATTTACCTAAGGGAGGACTGTTTGAAACTGAAGGTTCATTGTCCAAAATGTTATACTCTATGTCCATGATGGCGAAACTATGGCATGCATGCCAGAGGTGGCACACAGAACGCTCTCTTTGGGCACACATGCCATTGCCCAGCTCAGCCAGCTGGTAGGCAGGTTTCTGAGCTGTGCATGCACGCTGGCCAGCTGGTCATTGGATTTCCGAGGTGCACATGTGTGCCAGCCAGCTAGTCGCCAGGTTTCCGGTGCTCTGGTGCACACGTGCATGCATGCACATATGTGCACCTTCCAGTTTTCCTAAAAGGTTTGGCATCACTGCTGTATGTCATAATTAGATGTAGATTAAAGAGGATTAATTTTGAAATAAAATCAGTTGGTCATTGAGTATCTATTGCAATAAGAGTCTTAAATACTTTGATATGCTAAGATATTTGCTGAGTTTATGGTAGACCAACCAGTCTGAGTTTATGAGATCAGTTTTAATTACTGTAGCCTGTGAACGAGAAGTTTGTAAGGGTCAACTGTCTTGACTCTAGCCCATCATGACTATTGCAAGTGGCAGAATCTCTCAGTGGGTCCAGTGAATGCTCCATGGCTCTTTCTAATACACATTCAGAAAGAAAAAAATACAAGGAAGATGAGGAAGTTGGTGAAATAATTGTAGCTGTAAAGCTCCATTTCAATGTTTCATAGAACCCATTATCACCACCCGTTATCAAATGTGGGACAATATGTATAAGCACTGTTGTTTCAGGACCATAGACAGCACAGTCATAAAAGCAAAGTTTCTTTTAAAGTTTTATCGGTTTGCATGATTACAATGAAGTTTCCTTTGCCATAATAGATCTTCCCTTCCTCCTTCCTTCCTTCCTTTCCATAATCAATTTCAAATATATATGTTGTATCTTTACAATTAATATAATGATTTATGATTGTGATACAAAATTCAGGTATATGAACAAATCAATTTAATGTTTATTCATAAAAAAATGGGATTATGAGTTAGTCTGTTGGTAAAATTACAAGATTGCCTTCATAAATAAGAGAAAACAAGGGGAAAAATATCCAGTGAGGAAACTACTCTTGAAGACTCTTTCCTTTGGATGCAAGACATCACACACTTTTCATTAAAAGCATTTAGCAACTGATCATTTCGGTGGAATAAATAGCAGTGTTATTTCTTGTTTTACCTACTAAGTAACATGTGTAGAGCATTGCATAGGAAAGAATGTAATATAGTGCTCAGGTTGCTCTTGTAGGCTTGAGTGCATAATGAATATCTCATAGCAGATTGCAAAATAAAGTACTGAAAACAGACAAAATTTAAAATATGGTGATAATTCTACCTTATAATTGAAATTTTATAGATGTGCATTTAGGCTATCATATTGAAAGTGTGTGTCTGTGTGTCTGTGTGTATGTGTGTCTCTCTCTCTCTCTGTGTGTAAACCAGGCTCTTTTTAAAAGTTCCCATCCCATGTCTTTCTTCTCTTACAAATTGGTGTTGTTTTGTTCATCTTTATAAGGATTTTGGATTGTCGAGTGTGTTCATGTGATGCCATAAAGGGGTTTTAAAGTTTGGAGTTTCTGCTAGTAACATTAATTTTGTGAACATGTGATGTCAATAGAGAATTTTTTAAAAATGATGGTAGGATTAGTCCCGCCACCATACAAAAACTGTGTGAATGTGAAATTACTTTGTATGTCCATGAGATGGCAGCATTGTATGTTTGACAAGATAATACAAATACTAAGACTGTGATATGGAACAACCTTCTGCAGCTTTAAAAAAAATAGTTTTCTTTCGTATTTAATTTTCTTTCAAGTATTGTTGGGTTGTTAATTTCTGCTTTGCTTTATTCCTTACACTTAGATCCTAAGGCTGCCCCTACTGATATTAGGCTCAAAGTTGTAAACAGTACAGCAATCAGCCTTCAATGGAGTAAAGTGTACCCAGAAACCATCCAGGGACAGCTCAAGGAATATAGAGTGAGCACAACCAAATCCCAATAATGTTGATATTATTAATACGGCTAACCCTTGTCACTAATGATAACTGATGAGATTATCTGTTGCACATAGTAAAATGGAGATGACACAAATGAACTAAAAGCTGCTGAAAGACATGGAGACCATTTGTAAGAGGATAGTATTTACAGCAAAGAAAACATATATCAAATTCAGATCCAAAAGGTTTTTTCTTCTTCTTTTAGTTCCAGAGAAATATCATTACTCAATAATAGTGCAGCTTTTACTACCTTCTACCTTCCACCAAGTATCTTCTAGATAGTCCAGGAGTATAATTCAATCAATCAATCAATCAATCAGAAAGGAGATGGAAGGGACTTTGGAGGTCTTCTAGCCCAACCTACTGCTCAAGGAGGAGACCATATACCATTTCAGATGAGTGACTGTCGAGTCTCTTCTTAAAATCTTCTTAGAATTCACAATTATTTTGGCTAAGAAATCCAGAAATTTTAGCCCCAAACATTGGAGAACAGTGCATATGCACTAATTATACTTAAGGCAGGGATGTGCTTCAAAAATTTCAGCAATGGGTTCTCTTCCCAGTTGCTGGGTGGGCGTGGACATGGCCTAGTCAGCCTCCTGCACCATGGTGTGTGGGGGGGAGGCATTTTCGCCTTCCCCCGGCTCCGGAGGCTTTCCTGGAGCCTCTTGGAGGGCAAAAATTGCTTCGCCCAGGCTCCAGAGGCCGGAAACAGGCCTGTTTTCAGCCTTCCAGAACTTCCAGGAGGCCCATTTTTCCCCCTCCCTGAGCCTCTGCATGGGCCCTGTATTTAACTCATATCCAAAATGGGCCACATGGAGACTCCTGGGAGAGACGGGGAGGGGTGGCGAGGGGTGGGTGGTGCCAGCCAGGGAGGGGATTTGGAGGTTCTCCAAACCAGCCATAACATTAGCTACGGGTTCTCCTGAACCCGGGCAAACCCGTAGCAGCCCACCCCTGACTTAACGCAGATGTAAGTTTTGATTTCAAATATGGTATATTAGAACAATATTCTTGGGCCCAGTGCTGAATGTTGCAGGCGGGAGGCAGGTTTCAAGACTTGACAGTCAAATTAATTTTAATCTTTGTCAGGAAGAAAGCTGGGGTGATTTAGCAGCGCTCATATTTTAATGAATTTTTGTAGTCTTACCTCATTCAACAAGATACATTTTAATTCAGCTTTGGACTTATAGGGTTGGGTTTTTTTTGCTTCAAAGCTTCCTAGTCTCATTTTTCCAAAGTTTAATATCATTTTTCTTTATAAAATGTTACATTTTTAAAATCTTATTTTCATGCATAATACTATTGTAGTATTTCAAAATGTTTTTTCTGCCATCCGAAGGCAAAACTATGCATTCAAAAAATAAAGAATTAATGAAACATTGTATGAAACATCATAATTTAGTCAAACATATCCATACTCCACGCTATATCATCTATGTATCAGTAGTTTAAACCACCTGATCATTGATTGGTTTGGAACAAAAGGGCAGTTCAGAGTAGCTGCTATGCTGTACACCTTTTCAGCTGATAATACAGAACTGGCTTCTTTCTTCATTCTGAACTTTCTGAATTTGACTTCTTGTTGTGGAAAAAAAAAGCAGCTTCCCAGATGGTTTCCCAACTTTTGTGTCATCCCTCATGTGCATTTGGCATGTTTTATTAATCACCGTGAACATTCTATTTTGGCCTAATCAGAAATAATAAATGTGCTAATTGAATAATGACCTCCCAAAACAATAGCAAATGGATTTTATCCTGATGATTGTGTTTAAAAACTTTTTAAAAACCAGCTTTTGTCAAATTAACAAAAAAAAACCAGACAAATAAAAAAATCAATGCTAAAACCCTGTTGGAATTGTAGGAATGGCATAGTCTTCTTGCCCTAGCTTTCTCTTACCATGGTTTCTCAGATGGATTGGGAGTTTAGCTTCCAGAATTCCCAGACATCAAAGCCAGTTGCTTAAAACACGAGGTGAGAGAAATCTATTCTAATACATTTTCCAATCTGAACACTTTATTTCACAGGATATTCTTTTTGCATCATTTTCTTCCCATACCATTTATATCTCAAAATTAATGGACTCTTGCTGGCCACAAGTGAACTTGGACAGACAACATTTTGTGCCAAACTATGAAGCCATCAGTGAAAGGAAGGAAGAATGAACATTGTGAAGGCTGAAATCCTGATCTAGTTTTAGGGGCAGGGAAAAGAGGTTGTTGTTAAACTTGTAGTGTGACTTTATGTTGTCAGTCTCCTCCTTCCTTGTGGACTTTTACGCTTGAGCTAATTCTTGTGTGAAAGCTGAAAATGCGCAGGTATATTTTTAATAATGCCAAAAACAAGAGAAGCTTTATTTGCCTTACCTGTTTCTTGAAGGCTTATTACTGGAGAGAAAGTAGTTTGCTGAAGAATCTATGGGTCTCTAAGAAAAAGCAGTCATTGGGTTTTATTGGAGACCGGAATCGGGGCATAGTGTCCCGGCTGTTTCCTTACAGCAACTACAAATTGGAAATGGTTGTAGTCAACGGGAGAGGAGACGGGCCTCGGAGTGAAATTCTGGAATTCACAACACCTGAAGGAGGTAGGTTCCTCCCTAATATTTACACAGCTTTGGAAAATCTATCATTTCCGTGTGTGAAACATGAAGATAAGGAGGAATTTCTGTTAGCTCAATATGGTGGAATAAGTAATAGGTCTATTATAGAGCTACCATTAAAAAAAACCTATAAGATAGGAGCAAAGAGAAACTGAAAACTCTTATCTCTTAGTTGCCTTTCTAGTGGTCATCTAGATTTTTGATTTGCACAGCCCTGATCTGTGCATATGCTTCAAAGTCATCATATTTGGTGGGCCCTGTGTTGTAAGAAAGTGACTAATATTTTGATATAATTACAGTGATTCCTAAAAGTAATTGAACTACACATAGGGTAGAAATACTTTAGTACTTTTAGTCAAGAAATCCATCCGGTTAGATCTCTTGAAAGGTGAAATCTTAGGATTTTTCCCGTGGAATAAGCACTATTGCAGAACACATTCTGCCTCATCTTTACTGTCCTCTCAGGCTTACAAAATGTAAACTTGGAAAACAAAAAGAGAAGAAGTTCCACTGTAGAAGGAGTCTGCCTATATGTCAGATAGGAGTATTATTAAATGTATATGTTACCCCTTTTATCAATAAGGCGACTTTGCACAGCAATTCCTCTCCAGAACTCTTTGAATTTGATTACTAGACAAGTAATCTAGTAATCCATTACTCTGAAGCCTGATTTATGCTCAGTAATAAACAATTTAATGCATCAGATAGAAGACTAAGCTAGAGCTGCTATGGTATGGTCGTATATTGTTATGATACGATTTGACACTCTTCATTAGGGATCAACAGAGATTGTCCATCTGGTTCAGGGGACTGTTGCAAAATTCCAGAAGTGGCTCAGCCCATGTTGGAGTTCTCCAGAAGCTCCCCATTCTGACTCAGAACTCAATATAGAGTGAAAATTGGGAAAGGACACTTCCCCCATAAGGAAAAGCATAAACAGCTCTAACTGGTTTTCAGCTGAAAGGGATAGGATTTGTAGGACAACCACAGATTTCTAATTAAATGTGAAATTTTAATAGAAATTAGTAGTTTGGAAAATGTACAGCAACTTTAGCCATTTTTATGTTGAATATTGGTGCCTAAATTTAGGCAAATAGGTTGTAGAAATGAAAGGGTTGTTGAATGGTAATGCTTCTTCCTGAATATGGTGAAGTTTATTCTATAAACAGAGACAGATTTATATGGAATTTACCTATGGACTTTCTCATTAAATAAATCAGTCACTAGACTATGTAAGCTCAGAAAAGACCATCACACAACTAATCAGGACAAGAGAATGATGCTTATATAGAGAACTATGTTATGGAACAAGCTTAACAATGAATGTCTCCTGTATCACTTAAAGAATTGTTACCCTAATAGCAAGGTTCAGTCTCACTGAAGGGAGACCTGGTAGAGAATCAGGGAGATTACCTTGTGAGAATTAGACAAAAATCATTCTATAAGCAAAGAGTCCTAGGAAATAAGATGATAATGGAAGAGATTTAGGAAGGTTCCTCTCTGATTCCTTGGAGTATAGGAAGGGAAAGGGAAAGCACAATTAGCCTACAACATTCTGTTATTATAATCTATCTTAATGTATAATTCTAGTCTTCCTGTGGAATCTGTTTCCTACTTTGTTCTACCCAGAGGGCTAACATCAATCTTACCATATCTTTTCAGCTGTACTCAGTGTCAGCAGTCTTTTTCTAACATATCCTGTTGCTTCATTTTGGCATCATCATGAATGGCTTTTCAAAGTGATTAGCTTGAGTTCATCAGACATGTCATGAATAAAAAGTGACCTTCATTGCTCAATATTGAGTACCATAATTCCTATTCTGATAGGTTTTTATGCTCATCTTAAAAAACAGAGTTGGCCTCATTATAGAAAGAATAAATCTTCAGCTTAAATAGGGGTATGTGATAAAAGCTGCTTACCCAACTGATTAACTCTATAGTTCTATATGGGAGATAAGAAGGTTGGCTTTAAAACATAATTTATAGCTCATAACTTCATCCTCATTACTATTTAGGCATTAGCACACCATCCACTGCATAGTTATACATGAATGCTAACATAAAATAATAGCCTTGTCTTTTGCAGAATGTCCAGACTGTATTCATTAAAACCACATGGAAACTGTGATGCGGTCTTAATAAGTTCTGTTTATGCCATCTATACCAAATATTTCTTTGTGCACTGTCTGCCTTTCAGATTTTGCTACCTGATATATTTTCCCCCTCCCTTCTCTCTCCAAAACTATACTTCACTAAAGTGCCCAGTGCCCCAAGGTATTTCCGAATTCGTCAGCCAAACTTGGAGGCCGTCACCTTGGAGTGGGAACATCCTGAACATCCCAATGGCATTCTTATTGGATACACCCTTAGATACCAAGCCTGTATGTCCCGTGTTCATTTTTCTGGTTGTTGTTTTGCTTTTATCATATTAATCAGTCTTTCAGGGTTGAATCCTAATACAATAGGATTCCGTAGGAGTCATTGTGAGGAAACATCCCTCTGTGGAATGTTTTCCTAATTTGTAATTTTCAACTCTGTTAAAAGATATCTTCAAAAATGTGTTTCATTTGTCTTTCAAAACATGTGACTTCCTAAAATGTCCTGCTCCTGTTAGGAGCAAATTTCACATTTGTCCAAAGAATTCTTTATACATTAACAAATTTCTTGAACATTCTTATATATCTGATATAAGCTTCTGGCATAATAGTTATTATTTAATTTTTCTCGCATTTCCCAGTAGTTGTTATTATTACTATTATTATTATCTCTTTCATTCATTGAACATGAAACTCAGTCAACTGAACACTTAAAAATGTGTCACAAACACTATTGACTGGTCCTAATGGTTGATACAGGTTGCTGCCAGTATCCTAGGTATCAGTCAAGTATCTTAAAATATATGATTTTTATTATTATTATTTTTTATTATTATTATTTTAAATTACTTTCATCTGTATTATCTTAACAAAAGTCAGGGTCTTTGTTGGGTGCTATCTTAGGATAAGAGTGGGTCAAATGTGTAGTTGAGCATGTTTCTGAAAACAAGACTGAAGCATACACAGCCTGCCTCTCTCTTCAGTTAACGGATCCAAAACTGGCAGAACAATGGTAGAGGTCTTCTCTCCTAATCACACAAAGTTTTTACTTCAGAGGACGGATCCTATCTCACGCTACAGGTTCAATCTACGTGGCAGGACCCAGATTGGAGAAGGTGAGCCTGCCACAGGGGACTCTCCAATTCCACTGAATGAAGGTAAGTAATATGGATGCAGGGGCAGCTCTTCGGTGTGAGTCTGTGAGAGATGTGGAGCTGGAGGTGTGAGTTGTTGAAAACATTTTGTAATATATAGGTGGCAGTTGATACATTAATATGTGAAGTTTGGTCCTGGTATGCTGTGGGCATGAATCTTGCCCAACCATTTCCTTAATTTCTGAATTTTTTTGTACATTACTGAATAAATGCTTGAGAGAACAAATTATAAAGTCTTCGAGAGATTTAACTGAGCATTTTAAATAATGTAACCAATAAGATAAGGAGTAGAAGACCAGGATTGTGCTGCTTAGTTTCCCCCAACACTTAGACAAGGAGTAGATGCAACAATGCAGAGAACAGGCCTAACTCCACAAACTATTCACTGACATGATTTAGAATGACTAAATAAACTTTGACTACTGTCTACAATAGTTATGGCCATGACTGAGATGCTAAGAGATAGGAAATGCAAGTGCTTGATGTTTCCTTTCTTTTGCATGAAACTTTTATGAAATAAGGTGCATGTTGGTTATGGAATTCACAATAGAGTTAATAATATTCCATAGACCCTGTTTGCCACTGTACTGTTGTTATTGTTCTGATTTCAAAAGACTTAGCGTACAGTCGAAGATTTCAAGTGATTGCCTACTGCTGTTCCTTGGTGAAATGATTGGGCAGAAGTCATTTTTCCTGCTGCAATAAAATAAGATTTTTGTAAAATAGGTTTAAACAACCTTGTGTTTCCAAAGAATAGCTCAAATAAATCCTAAAGGATCTCTATCTAAATCCTTTCAATTTTATACTATGTCCAGCTTTTCTTTCCCAATGCAAGGCCAGGAGAGTAACATTTGAATAGCCTTTGTTTTTCATCACTTGTGTTTAAATATATAGTTAATAATATAGTTCCTAGCTAATTTTTATATAGAAACTGACCAACCTATTGACATGTCTATTATGTTTTGCTGATATTAAATTTTGCATTTATACGTAAGGAAGGTGGGTTGTTTTAATACTTAAAATAACTAAGTTGCTAAAGAAAGCATTTAAATAATACAATAATCTTTTGAGGTTGTTAAAAATGGACAATTGTGATCCTACAATATTTGTTTAAAAGGTTGTTTTGAGTTGTACTCCTTATTTTAGATAATATCACTCATTTTCTGACTTCATTTATTTCAATATTTATTTATGACATGATGCTATCAAATATTAACACATTTTAAAACAAGAACATTCCACTATATATATTTTTGGTATTATGTATATCATTTTACTAGACATCTCCATTTATTTATGGCAATTTGTTATCCCTTCAATACTATGAAATTATTCTTCCTTGGGGATTACTTGATAGACTTATCATTTTTCTTTTGTCATAATGATAATTTGTATTTTGGGTAATATTCTATGTTGCTATTTTTCAAATAGATATTCATTTTATAATATTTATCTAACCAGTCCCTAGTATTCTTCCTCTTATACTTTGCTTTAGGTGTGATTAGCAGTGGTCTTCATCTTTGACTGGTAATGTTTACACAGTGTTGTGTGGCAAATCCATTTTGTAAGCTAATTGTGTGAGATACTCTTACACCTAATGGATTGGGGAGGGTGAGGAAAGTATCTGAGACAATGGTGCATAGTAGTGAAGGAACATCTGCAAAAAAAATCTAGGCAGAATTTTCTTTGGGGTAGGGGTGTTTGAGAATTGTTTTGTTTTTCAGTGAATTGGTTTAGATTTAGATTTATTAGAGTTATATGCCGCCCTTCTCCCAAGGCCTCAGGGTGGCGTACAACATTAAAAGAAACACATAATACAAAAGTTAAAAACAAATTAAATAGAATATCCCAAACCCAATTAAAATTGACAATGACTTTTTTTTAAAAAAAAAATTGAATTAAAATTAACAGTGATCAATAATTTATTTTGTTTTGTTCAGGCCAGGCTGGCTTGCTGGAAAAGCCAACTTTTTAGGGCACGTTGGAAGGATTGGAGGTTGGGGATTATATGAAGCTCTGGGGGCAGCTCATTCTAGAGGGAACGCGCTCCCACAGAGAAGGCTCTCCCCCTGGGGGTCACTAGCTGACATTGTCTGGTCGACGGGACCCTGAGGAGGTCAATTCTGTGGGATCGCATTGGACGATGGGAGGCTACCGGTGGCAATAGGTGGTCTCACAGGTACCCTGGGCCTAACCCATGGAGCGTTTTAAAGGTCATAATTAGTACTTTGAATTGCACCCGGAAGACAACCGGGAACCAGTGCAGGCCGCCTAAAAGGGGTGTAACATGATAACCCGCGCAGCTGCATTCTGGACCAGTTGAAGCTTCTGGGTGCTCTTCAAGGGCAGCCCCATGTAGAGAGCGTTACAGTAGTCCAGGCGAGAAAGGATGAGGGCATGAGTGAGTGTGCACAGAGCATCCTGATCCAAGAAGGGGCGCAACTGACGTACCAGGCGAATCTGGTAAAAGGCCCCCCTGGTCACGGCCGTTAGGTGTTCTTCTAAACTAAGCCGCGTATCCAGGAGGATGCCCAGATTGCGAGCCCTCTCTGAGGGGGCTAAAATTTCTCCCCCTATCATCAAAAATGGAACAAGATGCACAAATCGGGATGACGGAAACCACAGCCACTCCGTCTTGATGGGATTGAGTTTGAGTCTGTTCCTCCCCATCCAGATCCGCACAGCCTCCGCACAGAATTGGTTGTGTTGAACCTTTCAAAGTATTAATATATACATATATAAAGTGCTAAAAGTAAAAAGTATGTACTGTAATTTGGTGGCTGAAGAGTCTTGGAAGAACTAGAAGCTACAAAACAAGGGAGACTCATTCAAGAAACAGTTGCTTTTTACTCTACTTTATGAAATCCTTGGTTAGAGAAGCAAGGCACCACATGTTCTGCTTCTTTCTGAAATAGATCCAGAGTTTTTGAATAATATTGTATAATATAATATTGTGACAGTAATAGCAAGCAAGCATCTGGATTGTATATGTTGCTATGAGAAAGACAATCCAACCTAAGCAGTTTATGCAACAAATCTGATAATAACATTCTTTCCCCTTTAGAATCATATTTTAATATTTGATTTGAAAGGGAACTTGGAAATCATCTAGTGCAGTGTTTCTCAACCTTGGCTACTTGAAGATGTCTGGACTTCAACTCCCAGAATTCCCCAGCCAACATTCGCTGGCTGGGGAATTCTGGGAGTTGAAGTCCAGACATCTTCAAGTGGCCAAGGTTGAGAAACACTGATCTAGTGTGATCCTTGCCCAATGCAGGAATTTACCACTATTATATTCCCAATGGATTACCATCTAGCCTCTACTTAAATGCCTCCATAAAAAGAGAGCCCACCACTTTGCATCAGTATTTCATTGTTGAATAACTTTTTATCATTAAGAATTTTTCCTAATGTCCACTTGAAGTCTGTATCCTTATAATTGTTTCTTATGGGGTGTTTCTGGAACAACACATCACCGTGCTGCTAATCTTTTATATAACTTTTTTTGAAAACAATTATCAAATCTCCTTATAGTATTCTGTTCCTCTCTCTAAGCTTATCCAGTGTCTTCAATTGTTCCAATGCTGTTGTTTTTTCTTTCAATTCTTTATCATCTTAGTTTCTTTCATCTGGACATGCTCCAGTTTATCAATGTATTTCCTAAATAGTGGTACCCAAAACTGGGAGCAATATGTGATGGTCTGGCCAGTGTAGAATAGAGAGTAATAATGACATAGTTGATCTTGATTCCGCACTTGGTTGATGCAGTATGGAAATGCATTTACTTTTTTTGCTACAGTATGATCACAGTTGGGTAATATTCCACTTGTGATCCACCAGGTTATCAAAATTATTTTTTCATGTATTACTTTCCAGTATGTGTCCCTCCCATCCTATATTCATATCTGTGATTTTTTCCTAGTCAGATTAGGGCTTTTGATTTGGTCCTGATTATTATTATGGTTGGTTGCAAAGTCAGTCATGTGTTTAGAGTGGATTTGACATCAAGAATTTCAAGAACACTACTTCTAATAGTGTGAGATAATGGGAGTTGAAATTTCCATAGCTGGTAGAACACTAGTTGTTATATACCTCTGCAGTTATGGAAAAAGCATCTATATGTCCCAGGAATTGCCAAGAAAGGGAATATTCCATCTCCAATTTTCCCTGGAAATTTGGCCATTAGGGAAAAAGTCAATTGGTAAAAAGTTGCCCCCAGACTAGTGAGTGGTCAAATGCCAAAACAGAAGGACATTATTTCTCCTTTCTTAGAGCAGATGAATTCTTTATCAAGGAAAACTTCTTTCCCACATGAGGTACATTTTAAGAAATATAAAAATAAGCAAATTCTCCCAATTACTGAAGGACGATTTAATTAGTAATGCGGGATATACTTTTCTCAAGCTATTACATGTCATTGCAGGAAAAAAGATATATGGTAATTCAAATACTTCCTTGAAATTAGAAATAAAAAAGCAAATAATAGTACTGTAATGAAACCAGGTTAGTGTGAGAATGTATCTATAAATTCAGCAGTTTAAATGATGCTCATTTCTACAGAGAAATGTTTATATATACATATATCTCCAATCTCCTCCATAAGAGACAAACTAGGAATGCATTATTGCCCTTTCCCAGCACCCTTGTAGTAAGCAAATGACCCTCACGAGGAAAAAGTCACAACTTCTAGATTCATGGTAGAATAAAACACTCTTTGTGAAAAAATTGTCAAATTAAGTGAAAGTTCAACAGCCCTCAGGAAAGAGAAAACAAAACAAAGCTTGCTCTTAACATTCTTCAAGTTTCCAGGAAGATCTCAATTTCTGTTCAGGCCTGTGCTTTATATAATTAATTGTTGCTTTTTATTTTCCCAATTGTAAAATGTGGGAAAAAATCATTATGTTGAATAGACATTCGAAACATGAATTGCTTCACATTTGTCATTCTGCAGGCAACCACTCAACATATTTTATATATATTTCTTGCCAATCATTTCTACCCAAAGTATTTTCTCTTGTGCAGGAGAAAAATGTATAATTTGGCAGGCAATGAATGGAAAGTACTTTGCAAACTGGATTTTGTGTTGCTCTTTGTAGTCATTTGATACACTAAACTTGGATTTTTCTTAAAAATTAAAGATCCATAGATGGTAAAAATCCAAGAATTTAATTACTGTATTAGAATTAATGTTAGAATTAGTATTAAAATACTAATCTATTTTATAAAAGCTTTAATCTCGAATCTGTTAGGTGTTGATAGCTATTGTATTTATAACATTGTCAGTAATCTGAATATGTCTGTCAGCCATAACACACAACCATTGCAAATGTATTTGTAATTACTTCTAGAGTCTGAACTAATTTTGAGATTATAAGTATAGCAGCTGCAGTTAAATATAGCAAACCACAGTACAAAAAGGAACGGAAGCAATTTTCTCTGTCTCAAGTACACTGTACCTTCCTTTGTCTTCATGTATATAAAAGGGAAATTTTCCAAGAAAACATTGTGTACCAGTTATGATTTACACTGACTATACTTTAAAACTGAATCTGGATTCAAACCGAGTGTGATGCTACCAGTAGTTGAGGAGCCTATTTTGATACAACATTTGCATCACTTGTTTGCTACATGTGGTCAAAATCAAAAATGGTTTGCCAAAAATCAGAAGCATAGGCAGATGTATACCATTTGGATTGGGTTTGTTAGCTTTCTTCATTCCTTCCGGCAGTTTTTTATGTAGTGTAAATAAACAACATGCTGTCCTGAAACCCATCTGTAGTGATGATTAGCTGTAGCTGTTATGTGCTGTAGTTACAGTGTACATGCTGATGATAAAGAAAGAACATTGTGCATTTATCCACATTGCTTTGTGAGTACTGCAGACACCTAGCAAAAAGCCATCCTACATTATCAGTTGAATGCATTGTCAGTATGCAAAGAACTGTGGAGTGTTACAACTGGAATTCAATAAGGATTCAATAAATGTTGCAATTACTGGATGAATGGATGAATGATAAAAGAACCATGGCTTCCATTTTGCATAGATGTTATTTGAGCCAGGGGATTAGAATGAAAAAACACTTTGTAGTTATTTGCACGCTATAGTGTCTCATCCATCATAAACATAGAAATGGAAATGAACTTGCAATAAATTGCACTTGAGTAGAATTTCTCCTAACCCTCAAGGAAAATAAATCAAAGCCAACAGTATGTAGTCTTGTTGAATTAAAACCATAAACAGGATGGAATGTGAATCTCCAGATTAAAAAAATAAAGGAATTGAATCTACCACAACTTCTTGTACTGGTTTGAGGGGCCATTATAGTATTATTAATTGGAAATGATGGGTTAAAATGTTTTCTTTTTCTTACAACCTCAGGCTGCCATGTTTGTAGATTGCATTTATGTAGCAGTTTTATATATTTCTGTGTTCTCTCTTTCCTTTCTCTCCTCATGTTTCCCTTCCTTGTATTTGATGCTACACTTCTGAAGTTCTTCCAACCTCAGGTATTGTATCTACTGGCAGCATAAAAAGGCATGGGGGGAGGGGCGTGTGACTCAGGCTTGGCTCTTGGAATCACTACGCATGCACTATGTTAACCTTTTCAATGGTATGAGGGATAAGATCGGAAAACATTGTCACATGAGTTAGCCAATAGCTCCTCTTTCTGGGGTTAGAAGACCATTGAAAGGGTTGACCATTAAATTTCAGTTGCTGCTGAGCATGTATGCATGATAGGCTTTGACTGATGCATTTTACTGATCTATTTGATTTTTGCTGCTATTGCTGCTTAACATAGTAATGCAGAGAAGTCACATCTGGTTCAGCACCGTGGGAAGAATGGAAGGAGAATGGATGGATGACTGGTAAATGAAAAATCCTGAGTCCTCAGTGTGCTCTTGGTCTTCAGAGCACTATAAAGGAGGAATATATCACATAAGGCCTCTAGGCCACTTTGTTCCAGTCTTCAGAAAACAAGGAGTTTTCTATAGGAGAGTTGATCCACAGCTTGGAGGAACACTTCAAAAAGTGGGTAGGGCCAGGACAAAAATAGCATTTAATTTAACGTTGAATTGATGTTTAATTAAAATATAGTTTAAATGATTTGTGATTGCTGCCCATATGTTTAATAGCTTTCTTTTTTTTAACATAAAAATGCAACTTTAAACATGCCATGGACTTTCTTGAGCTGTATGGAGTTCAGGAAATGTACTTGTATATCTCTGTTAAAGACACATTACAAACTTGAGAACACTTTTCTAAAAAGAAAAGATAGACTTTTGGCATATTTCAAAAAAAAAATTAAGCAGTATTATGGAAGGTTCTCTTTCATGAGCATTGGTTCTTCTGATTATAAAATATAGTGAAGATGCTGTGCTTTTCTAAGCCCACCTTTTTGGAATAGCATCAATTTTTCAAGGTCATCGGAGAGAAATTGATGCTTTGTTGGTAGGGCAGTTATATACTTGATTTCCTTTCAGGGAATGAGAGATTTTTGTCAGTTCTATCCTTATTTTAAACTATGAATTCCATAGAGATCTGTTCATAGAGCAATATTAAAGTTAGAGTTAATCATTCCTGAAATTTAAAGTTAAGAGAGGAAAACATGTAAGAGTATCCTCAAAATGCATTGCCCACACAAAATATTTACTGTTACACACTTCCTTAGCTTCCTTTTTCATATGTTTTGAACTCTGCTTCTTTCATTCTGTAATTTCTGAAGTATAATTCCTCAGAAATAAGAAATAAGCTAGGGTATTTGTTTTGGCTGAGGACTCTCTTCTGGGTCAGTTACCCTGCAGAACATTGGAAAAAATGAAAATGGCTTTTGAAGTTCTTGTTTTTTCTTCCATTCAGTTGAAAGTCCAATTCTTGAGGGTTGCTTAGATAAGTCCCTGCAGTTTTCTTGGCAAGGTTTTTCAGAAGTAAAAAGCCTTTGCTGTCTTCCTAGTGCTGAGATACCTGATATCTCTGAGATAGGGCCACCTAGCTGACTTTGTACTTAAGGCAGGACTAGAACTCATTGACCTCTGGGTATCAAGGCTGATGACTTAACTACTATACTAAACTACTTTCAAGTTAAATATAACTTGGGCAAAAACAAAAGTGTAAAATTTAATTTCCTTTTGAACTTTCAATATTGCTTCATTCAAATTGAAAATAATTAATTCCATTTTTCTATAGTTTCAGTTGTATTTGCAGAAATTGTCCAGCTTATATAAGCTTTATTGGTTATTTTTTTTGTTGGAACAATTAGTTTAATTGCTATGAATTTGCCTATCTAACTTTGTTAAATTCAGAGTCTCCTCTTCCCTTTATTGATTTTCCCCTCTCTCAAATACAAGGGTAACAGATTGATCTGTCTTGGGCATAAAATATTGAAAAATGTATTATTTCTATTGAAAGTTTATCATAAGTCTGCTTTTAGGACTTGGACTTGGCAAGATTGGTCCTAAATCTATTAAAAATAACCACCTCACATATGTATTTTTCATTGTATGCTGATAAGCAACACAACATTCAGTCATTTTATTGACTTTGGTATTTATTTAAACTTTTTTTTTTAATTTTTCCTGTTAATTTCATCCTATTTACTCTAGGATACCTGATGAAGTTCAGAGCATCCATACAATCCTGGGAAGGTAGCCTAGCCACAAAATTGCTGAAATGCCTCCATACTCTTACCTTGTATATAAATTCAGGCAACGTCTTTCCATCTAAGGTACCTGTTTCCAACCTGATATCCAAATGTGCTGGGCTAGAATCTCCAAATTCTATGCCAGCCCAGCCAACTTGGATCTGGATGGAAATTCTATTTATGTAGCCCAAACCTTCGTCCAGGCAACATGTTATGGAAGTCTATCCTAAGACTTACTTCAAGTATGCAACTGGAAAAGAATGAGTTTCCATCTGCTGAGTCAATCACAGAGTTTTGGAACTTATTATTTCATGGCCTGCTTTCTTCTTACTTTTCTACAGAAAGGGAGATGCTCTCCTTTTGAGTCTGTGTTGCCTGGCAAGTGTTTCTTGGGAGAAGGTTATGTTTAATAGCAGAGCTTCTAATTCATATCAGTTATGCTGATATCTTATGACTGAACAATCCCACTAGCTCTTCAATTCAACCTTTTACTGTTTCTGACTAATTTAATGTTTCTTTTAGCAAGATTTGCTTTATCTTAGCTAGAGTTTTATGTATGCAACTAAGTTACTTTGGCTCTTTTTGGATAGCCTTGTTTTGTCCCCAAGAAAAACTCCCAGGAGTCAAGTTCCTGTCAGTGTTTTATCTCCTACATAACCCAAACCCTTTATCCAAGCTTGCTACTGTCCTAAACTCTCTTAAAGCTTTCTCCTTTCCTTAAGACTGAATAAAACTCAAAGTCAACTTGTAGCTATGAACCAAAAATTATACTTTGGTATTTTAATAGAGCCAAAATTAAAAACAAGCAATTCCACTTTATTACTTGCGTTAAAAATAACTATGCAAAAAACAACCAGATTTATTATAATTTCAAGGGACTGTAATCTCGGTGCCCTGAATCTTGCTCAATATCTCCTTCACATTTTTTTCAGATTACAAGAAATCTCACTTCTGGCAACTTGAGCTCTCTTGGATTGGATTGCTAATTCTTCCAAATCCAGTTAGCTCCTTGGCATTACCAATCCGAATCTGCCTCTTTCCTGGGTTATTCTTGCTTTCTTGTGTTCAGTACTGACACATTGGATAATTCCTTTACAGGCTAAGCTTGCCTACCTGTTTACATCAGAAGAACACATAGCAGTGAAATACAGCTTTCTGCATTATCCCTTTACCTTTTGCTCATAAGTAATCTCATTGTCACTCTTTTTTCTATTTAGAACACATGCTAACTACACTTCTCTTTTTTTTTACCTCCAGGTCTTCACAACTCTGCACTTTTCACATCTCTTCCTATTCTAAGTTTTGGTTTTTCTTCTCACTTCTTCAAGTAGCCTCCTTCAGAAAATGCCCCCCAAAGTCCCTCTCTTTTAACTCATCAACTTCTCTCCTTTTCTTCCTATTTACCTTCACACTCCTCTTGGTACTAATTGCAAACTCTGGGCACCCAGATTTCTAGCATTCAAGTTATTTTCTTGCTTCCTGTGGTGAGCACCATTTTATACCAGCTTTATTCATTTCTACAGTTTCTCTGCAATCTCTTGAGTAACATTAAAAATCTTGAACTGAAAAAAAATGTTTACTTATCCTTTATTTCAGACTCTTCAGTTTCTTTATGATTTTTATTGCTTTTATGAAATGCATTGTCCCCTTCTCCAGCCTCTTGGTAGAAAGGGAACCATTATTTCTTTATTCTTTTTTTCCAGGAAAAAAAGGAATAAACTCAATTACATATTTTTAAAAAAATACTTTGCAGGCAAATTAGTTTAAATGTGTTTATTTTTGCATTCAAGGGAGACCTTACACTCTGCAGAAAATAACACTTTGATTTAGATTTTATAAACGGGTAGAGAATAGGAGGGTCAGATTTAATAATATTAAGTAAAAACTGGAAAGTATTAAGAATTCCAGGCTTGACAGTTCTGGGACATAGAATTGATAGAACAAGATAAATGTTCTTTAAAAATGCTGTTTTTAAAAATGCTGTAAAATATGTCTTTCAAGCCAACATATATTACATAGAATAATGCTGTATATTTAAATTATTAAAATTACAATGATATATGAAACACTTTGTAAATATTGATGTGATATAAAGCAGTGTTTTCCAATTCAATCTCCAGAATTATGACCCAGAATTGCCAGTCATTTCATATATAGGATACCAGACTGGAAAGAATAGTCAAAATAAACTAGTTTGTGGCTTGGAGAGAAAAATGTAGATCTGAAACACTATATTCAGATTTTTTTATGGGTAAGTATATGGCAGCTCCCAGTTTAGGTCCCAATAAGCTTCTTTTTCCTTGTCAAGAATTGATTTCTCTTTTGGGTGATCAACTGAAGCCCATTTAATGGATATTGAAACAAACAGTAGGTATGATCACAGCTAAAAAGCATTCACTTGCAGAGTTTTGAAATGGGGCTGAGGACTGCATGAAGCCCAGGACCCCAGGCTGTATACTTTTTTTCAACAGGATCAGTGCCTGAGCAGACAACATATATTTTTGTCACTAATAAAGAATGCTTATTCCATATTGTGCCCTGTGTGAAAGTCAGAATTAAGGCTTATAGCAACAAGTACAGGTTTATTGTTCGGCACATACTATATACTGTTCTTAGAAAGGAAGAAATTACCTGCCAGATATATAGATCTCAATTGCTAATAGTTAGAATAGTACAGTTAGAAGTCTTCTAATCCAACTCCCTGCTCAGGCAGGAAACCCTATATTAAAAGGGATTAAAGAAATTCCCGAAGGACAGGATTACCTTTGGCTGTTTGAAGATTCTATGTGCTCTATAGGCCAGATGCAGTATCTCCCCAAAATACCAGTTTCAGGGGAACATTAGGAGAGAGAGCAATTAGCAAAAGAA